AGGTCTGGCAGCAAGTCTGCAGCCTCAGAGAAAGAAGAAATGCAGCTCCAGCTCTGTTCCCACTGGTAAAATCTTGGGAAAAGTGAGCCAAAGCCCAAAGCTGTCACCCCAGCCCTGCAGTTCTGCTTCTCACTTTCTTATTATCTCTGTGAACTGTCAAGAGGATTAGGGAGGCAGGAATCAGCTTCAAAGAACATCAGAAGCAAAATATGATCTCATCTGAGGGGCACTTCCATGCACTTCCAGCCTCTTTAGATATCTCATGGTGGGAAAGGGATGAGGCCAATGGGGCTGCTCATCCCTGTGATGTGAACCCCACCCTGGTGCAGCACTTGGCCCACCTCTCTTCACTCTCTTGGACCACTCTCTTCACTCCTGCCCTTCCCTGGGGCTGACCAGCAGGGAGATGCTCCAGCAGGACAAGTTGTGCTTGGATGCATCCCCCTTTTCCCTCTGGAATGGCCTCAGCCATTCATGCTCCCATAAAAATGTCTGTCTTGCTTCAAATTTGATTTCCAGTCCTTGTGCTCTGGACTCCTGGCAGGGCTGCACTGTGGCTGGTGCCTTCATGGCTCCCACATGAGCTTTACAAGGAGCCAGAACTAAAATTTTCTGTGGGGGCATCTTCTGGATTTCCTGTGCTCTTGTGAACACCAGTGCTGAGAACCAAAGAGGTGGAGGCAAATCACTCCCTCAGTCTTGTGTCCCTCTCTCTCACTACCACTGAGGTGGTGGGGACCTCAGCAGCTGGGTGGGGACACACTGTTCAAATATTCACTGATTAATTCTCCACTGTTAAAATGTTTGTGTGTTCAAAGTGAGCCCCCCTGGAATGAGCAGGAATTGGGGAATCCGCCCTGTTCTGCTCAGCCCTTGGTGGCAGCCAGCACTGGGCTCACACACAGCACTTTGTGCCTGTTGCACTCAGAGGAGGTGGGACTGATGTTTCTGAAGCAGTTACTTGAGAAGCAGCTCTATCATGGCCATAATTATTTCAAGAAATAGAATAACAGCCCTGCTTTGCATAAAGGGTGAAGGATGTTGCTGGCCCCATGCACTGAGGAGGTGCCTCTCTCTCACAGCCCTGCAGCTGTGGCACAGCAAATGCCATTGGGGGTGGGCAGGAATCCCAGCCTGGAAACCTGGAGGAACTTTTCCAGACACTCTTTGGCAAGATGTGCCCAGCTCCAGTGACCTCAGCACTAAATTCACACAAGGTGGAGGCAGCAGGACTGGGTTCCTTGCTCTGATCACTGACTCAGGGGTACAAAATGTGCAGCAGATCCTTGACTGTGACCCAAGGGCTGCTGGGGGAACATGGAGCTGAGGCAGGATTTGAGCCAGGAGCTCTTCCAGCTGACCCCCCCAGGACTCTGACTTTGCTGACACTGACAGTATTTCAAATAGCTGAGAGCTGCAAGTCCTGACTCCTGTCTAGACTGGAGCCTGGGGTAGCCCTTTGGGAAGGTGGAATGAATTTTTGCTTGATTTGCCCTTTTCTTCCTCCTTCTCTAAGCCATGTTACATTTTCTATGTGCTGAGAATATCTGTGTGTATATGTGAGACAGGAAAGGCAATGGGATATTGAAAATGTGGAATGTGGGAAAGATATGGAATAAGGGGTGGATGCTGACCTGGTTTTGTCTGGAATAGTTTTTTTTCTAGCTGGAGCAGTGCTCTGTTTTTGATTCAATATAATAATAAAATGGATAACACACTGTCAAGAGGACTGTCTGTATTTTCACACACCTGCCCTGTCCCTTGGCACAGGGATCCCAAAGGCTGCAATAAATGGGGATATTCCTCCCAGGGAGGTGTCCCTGGTCAGGAGGGGTAACTGCAGAAGGCAGAGGGAAGCAGATGCTGTGTCTGGGTGGCTGTGGCAGCATTTCCCATGGAGCTGCCACTGCAGTGTGGGACCAGACCCTGCCTTTCCCTGCAGAGATTATCCCTCAGAGCTGAGGTGGAATTAACTCTGTTAAGAACTCCCAACTATTTCTGTTCCAGCCCTGGGCTACTCTGTATTTCCAACAGGGAGAAGGGGTTGTCTTCCTTTTAATGATGATCCTTGGGACTTGCAGCTGCAGCAGGAGGCAGAAAAGGCCTCAGGAACAATTAATTCAGGATGAACTCCTGAGCTGCGCCTCCCTCAGTGCCCAAGCACAGCTGAGGGGTGGCAGCCGCCCCTCCTGACCCCAGGGATGAGCAGGGTCACAGCTCCACCACCCCACAGGGATCTCTGTGAGTGCCAGGTCCTGCCAGATCTCCCAGAGTCCTCCAGGGAGGCTGGGAAAGCAGGAGCAGCACAGGAAATAATGGCCAATAACAGGGCTTCCGAACAATCATGTTCTCATCTCAGTGTCAAGCAGCCGGCCAGGAATGAAGGGAAAATACCATTCCCCTTCCTTTTTTGGCAATAATGGCTTGTAACCTCAGAGGAATCTCCAGCCTTCAGGGGCTGGCTCCACATTTTCTGCCTGCACCTGGCTCAGCCTCACAAACACCCCCCTGAGCACTTGCTCTCACCACAAAACATCCACAGAGATGAGCTTTGGGCCTCACTCCTGTCTGGCACTGCCAGGATCTGTGAGTTCCCTCACTTGGAGACAGCTGATGGGATTCTCAGTGCTGCCCAGACACTGCCACAGCAATTTCCTTCAAAAGGCATGTTTAGATATTGAAGAAAGCCATAGGTGTGCTCTGAACTCCTTGTTGAAGTCCAGAGCAGTTTCCTCATCCCCAGGACAGCCTGCTGGCTTCTAACAGATATCCACAGGAACTGAATGGCAGGAAGAGCATGCCCTGAGGACAGATCCATGCTGAGGTATAAATAGCTTCATTTCACAGGGCCAAGCAGCTTCCTCAGCCTGGCAGGGCAGATCCCAGCAGGAACCTGCAGCTCCTGGGGCAGAGCCCTGCTTTGGGGTGCACAGGACAAGCCAGAGGATTTTCCACCCACTTTTCCTTCCATGGCTTTTCAAGCACAGGAGTCTGAGTAAGAGCTTTTAGAGCAGGGAGGACGTGGGACACAATTAAAGTGCACCTGAGAGGGTGATTTTGTGCTGTTTGTCAGGAGAACCTTGGCAAGCAGGAGCACATCCTGCCTTTTTTTTTTTTAGATCAGCTCTGTTCCAAGAGCATCCCTGGCGAGGCATTTCATAACTTGGGATATTTTCTTCAGGAAAGTGCTCAGGCAGTCCCAAAAGGTCCAGAACGTTTCCTGCACGTGCTCCTGCCACAGAGTAATGAGGGGCTGGGTAGGCAGCCAGGGCACTGAATCTGGACAGAGAATGGAGTTTCCTGGAGTGTGGGACAGGCTGGGTTAACAATGTTGGACCTGGGGTATTTGAGCTGGGTGTAATGGGAAAAGGAAACAGCTCAGCACAAGAACCAGGGTGGATAAAGCAACCAGAGCACCAAGAAAAAAACAGAGAAAGGAAATAGAAAGGGAGAAAAAAAAAAAAGACTTCAGGAACTAAGAAGTAACGCCAAAAAACCACTTTCCAATTAGAGGAAAACTTGCTGGGAAAGCAGGATAAGGGTAAAATGGGGCTCTTTTCAACAGGCAGGAAAGTGTCACCCACATGAATGGAGCAGGTGTGTTCACCTGGAGGTGCAAAAGCTGAATTTAGCTGTGTGGGCATATCAGAGACCCATGGGAGATGGAAATCACTTCTTGTGTTGCTTCACCATCATTGGCAACACCCTGAGACCCTGAGTCAGAGCTGAGAGCAAAGATTTGTGTTTTCTGGAGGTGTAGGTTTGCAGCTCTCTTCAAATACCTTCAGACAAACTCACTGCCTCTGCAGCATTTGTGTAAGAGGATTCAAAGAACCACAAATTGGCTTTTACCAGGAAAATGAAATTGATTCACATGATTATTTGTGGGGAAGCGAAGGCTGAGCCCATCCAGCACCAGAGGAGTTCATGTCATCTCCTATTCAAGGCACTAAAAGTCATCTCCTTCATCTGAGGAGTCACAATCTCAGCTTGGAAGATCCAAGATGATTCAGTGTTTAGTAATGCATTTGTCAAGTAGATTTGAAAAAACCTCAGCATTTGGGGGGAATATTCTAACAAAAATTCCCATTATTGGAATGGTGGTTCAATAGGTTGCATTCACTTAATCACAGAGGACCATGCTCCTCTGAAGTTCCTGCTTCCATTAATTCCTAGGTCTGAACTCAATGATTCTGAAATGTGGGGGAGAGGCAGCTCAAAGGGAACAAAAATGAGCAATGGGACACTTTTTACAGTAAAATATATCCAATGCAGTCACCCAGCTCTGCTAGGAATGTCTCACAGATATAGGGACAAATGTGTAGGAGGGGAGGAATTACAAAGCATCCTGCTGGGAAGGTCCATGCCTGGGGAGGAAGGGAAAGAGAGAGGGCTTGAGCATTCAGGATGAATCTTTGGAAAAGCAATGTGACAGCAAAGTCCTTTAGGATTGAAGAATTTAGTCTTAAAAGGAAAGGAGGTTTAGGAAGTATCTGTTATTTGGGACACTAAACTGATGGGACAATCCAGCTTTCAAGTCCTGGGGACACAGTCTCAAGCTGCGCCAAGGGAGATGCAAGCTAGAATTAAGGAGGAAGTATTTTACAGAAAGAGTGGTCAAATACTGGAATCATCTACCCAGGGAGGTGGTGGAGTCATCATCCCTCGAAGAGTTTAAAAAAAGACTGGATGTGGCACTTGGTGCCATGATCTAGTTGAAGTGTTAGAACATGGGCTGGACTCGATGATCTTACAGGTCTCTTCCAGCCTAGAATTTCTGTGATTCTGTGATTCTGTGAACAGGATGGGTGATCTCTGGTTCTCACATCCATGTCCCTGAGAATTCAGCTGCCATGAACACCCAGATGCATTTGGTCTGTTCAGAGTGTCAGAGCTGCTGCTCCCTCCTGGGCCAGCAGAGAGGCGGAAGCCCCTGCCCTGCTGGTTCTGCCTCAGGCAGCTCCCAGAGCCCACCACCATTTAAAAAGCAGAATCCTTACCTTGGACAAAGACATAGATGCTGGCCACGAGCCCCTGGTGCTCGGGGGTGCTGCTGGGGGCACAGCTGAGGTAGCCGGTGTCGTTGGCCGTGGCTCTCCTGAGGACGAGCTGGCTGCAGCCCAGGCCGGGCGCGTCGCGGCAGCCGCTCACGTGCACCCGCGGGCTGTCCTCCCTCAGCTGCCAGCTCGCCGACGGGGCTCCCCTGCCAGCACAACACATCCAAATCACACTGCATTCAGGCAAAAATGGGCCTTCTTCCTGGCCACTCCTTCCCAGTGCTCCTACCCTGGTCACTCCCAAAAAAATTGTAAAGGTCACCAAGACTGCGACAAAATCCCCTTACACCCATGCTACACTGTTAAAGACGTTCTAGGATTTGGACTAATACTTTCCCTACTCATCTCCCTGCCCCTATTCTCCCCCAGCCTCCCAGGAGACCCAGAAAACTTTACACCAGCTAACCCACTAGTTACCCCTCCACACACCAAACCTGAATGATACGTCCTGCTTGCACTTCCACCCATCAGAAATTGAGCTGGATCACCCCACACTGTTCCCCAGACATTCCTGAAATGCTCCCTGGGAACTGCAGCAAGCTCCTGGAGAAAAGTTTAATTTCTCTTCTAACACACTGCCTGAACACAAGTTTGTTTCTATATCACTGTATTTTAGCCACTTCAAACATTACAAAGCATCAGATAAAATTATATGTTTGTTCAAGAAGGAGGATTTTGCATATTTTAACAGCTAAATTAATGTATATTTTCTTGCACTGAGGCTGCATGGAGAGATGAGGATATTTATGTAATTTTTCATCACCTTTCTTGCTTAATCAGCAGTGACTCAGTCTTGATTTTTGTGAAGGGCCTGAAACTAATCAAGGTTTACAAATCTGGGAATATCTGCTCAGGACACTTTTTTTCCAATTCCCCTTGTGGCAGCAGCCAGACCATCAAGCCAGGAGGGCAGAGGATGAGACATTCGCCCCAGCTGAACCCTTCTGTTGCTGGATCTCTGAGCACATCTCATGAAAAATGCAATTCCATGGAGTTCAGGACAAAAAGCAGGGCCTGGGTGTCACCTGCTGTGAGACCCAGAGCTCCCAGGTGATCTAAGTCACAGCTGGATGTGCTGGAAGCATCAGGCCATGGCAGCAGGAGCTCCTGGAGCTCCCTCTGAGGGCTCTGGGGCTGAACCAGAGCTACCACACAGGCCTAGGAGATGAAGATGATGGTGGTTTTTGTAACAAACTGGTTTTTAGTGTGGAAACTGGCGGGTTGGGGGTTATCTCCTGTGGATTTTCCTGGGGAAGAAGTTGGTGATGGAGAGGGGGAGTTGTGTGTGTTGTGCTGGAGAGAGGGAGATGGGAGTTGTGTGTGTGTTTGCACTCTTCCCGAGAACAGGGGGGTTGGCTCTCCCTTCTCACTCAGAATTCCCACTGGCATTTGCTGGGCTAAGGAAGGAGTGAGAACCCCTGGACTCCCCCAGCTCTGTGCTGCCAGGGAGAAATCCAGCCCAGCCACGCTGACCCAGGGCTGAGATGGCAATGCCCAAAGTGTGAAATTCCCAGTTAGCCAAGGACTCAGAGTTCCAGTGGCCTGCAGGGGTGCAATAGGTGCAGTCAGAGCACGTTTGCCAGGACATCCAGTGACATTTCCACAAACATCCTCTTGGCCCTCGTTCCTGCCCGTCCCCCTGTCGCCTTCCTGGAGAGGAGGCGGATGTGGAGCCCTTGAGGTTATTCCCAGCACCAGGCTGACGGGAGCACTGGCAAAGGGGGAATATCCTCTCTGCTGAGCAGCCTCACCCTTGTTCTTGGATGTTCTGATGGTTGGACAGCCTCACCCCACGTCAGAGCAGCTTCCCATTGTCCTTCCGAGCACCCAGAGCTCGGGCCCACCCTACCAACGTCACTGGTGACTCCAGGACTGGGATTGCTGGTCTGGAGTAGGGAACAGAGCCAGTTCACACGGACACAGCTCCCAGCATGTCACCGTGTCCCTGCCCCTCGTCACCCACACCCCTCTGGTGTCCATCCAAGCTCTGGTGGCTCTGCAGGGCAGCACTGGGAATTCACACCTGTGCTTCCTTAAGTCTTTCTCCCCCAAAATCCATTATCCTGGTGGAAGGTGAAGCCTTTGGCTGTTGCTTTGGGATTTTCACACATCTGCCAGAAGGGAGTGGCAGCAGCAGCTTTGGCTCCACTACCACAAACCAGGAAATCTTGGCCAAGAACCCCAAAAGCCCAGAGTTGAAGGGAGGATGGACATTCCCACAGACCTGCTGGGGCTGTGCCCCATGCTATGCCCCACACAGCCCTAATGCCCCTGGCAGCACAAAGAATTCCAGAGTTCCCCTGGGCCAGGAGCTAACCTGTGAGTGTGGCAGAGGAGGCAGGAGGCCAGACATCCCCAGAGGGGCTGATCCAGGGACTCTTGCATGGAGAAACCACACTTTCCTTCTCTTCCCAGGTTTTGAATCATGTGAGCCAAAGAGCTGAAGTGCTCCGGGCCCTGGTCCCATGTTACACCCCATGCTCACATCTTTTTGTGTGTCTCAGACCTGCCATGGGGATTTCTTGCTTTGCATCCATAAAGCAACATGGGACTAAAGTGCTCATAACTCTTTCAATTATTTGTTGATTTGGTGATATGAGAAAAGTAGGGTGGTCCTCCAGATTAAAAAGGTGGGGGATGGAGAACTGCTGGGAAATGTTGATTTAATTGGCCTGGGGCACCCCAGGGACTTTGAGTCCACACAGGTTTTATGGAGAGCACCATTGAGATGTTAAAGGACTGCTCAGACTTTATTGCCATCATGTTTGCTGTTTGCCAAGCTAAAAATACCACTGGAAGGTTATTGTGACCTCGTAAGCCACATGGCAAGCTGGAGGCATTTGGAAAAAAGCTGCCTCACACTCCAGAAGACATCCCAAATTTACACAGTCTGAGCCCATTCACCTTTCACTATAACAAAGAATTAAATAGTCTGGGACAAAAATCAGAAGGGATGTGTCAGCGAAACCTAAAGCTTAGATTCATCTTCTCACTGCTTTTTTTTCCTGTTTTTAGTAACTTCTGTTGCAGGAAACCATCCAGGTAGTGGCGCCAGCCAAGGGAACCTTGCAAGAAGGTGTAAAATCCATTTGTGTGTGTGAGAGAGAATGAAATTGTGAGAGTTTGTGTTACCTTGGGCTTTTTTCCTACAACACTCTCAGAGAAAAACCTGAGAAATGTCCTCTGGCAGCAGTGAAGTGTAAAAATCCCACTCAGAACAAGTAACACCTCCATCCATCTCAGTCTGGGGCCTTTTGTGGGACCCAGCAGCTGCTGCGTGTTCTGGCACAGCAGAGTGCTCTGGGTTTGCTCCTTCCTCATGTGTCAGCTGTGTCCCTGTTCCCAGAGCATCCTCTCCCTGTCAGCACCAAAATCCTGCTGGTCCTTGCATGGCTGGTGGCACACATTGTGCCAGGACTGAGGCACTGCTGTGATTTACAGCAGCAGCACTTTGGTTTTTCACAAGTCCTGGTTAAATTTGATTTAAAGAACATGTTATGTTTAAACTGGCTGGGGCTTTGAATGTACACACGGTGACTGCTGCTTATTTAAGTGTCTGTGATGGGCTAGGTGGCAGTTCCTGGTGATCTTTGTTGTTTCCTGATGGACAGGGAGCAAAGGAGTGATTTTAGGAGGAGATGAATCTGCCCCTATTTCAGAGAGAATTTCCAGCCATGTTCTCAAGCACAGCATGTCCCACTCCCACGAGCTCTCCCCTGTGCTGACTCAGGGCTTTGCTTGGGCCCCTGAACAACACAACACAAAGAACTTGGCCAAGCTGACCCCAGACTCTGCTCCCTGCTCTGTCACAGCCCATCCAGCTCCCTCCACACAGCCCCAGCTCCCAGCTGGCCCAGCATCAGGCTCTGCTCTGTCCTGGAGCTCTGCTGGGCCAAACCAATCAACACAAGGACAAAAATCCAGCGTTTTTTGGAGCAATCCTTACCAGCATTTTATTTTTAGGGTGTCTCCTGGTGAGATGACAATTTGGTCCTTGGAAATGCTCAGCTTTGGTTTTTGAAGAAGCTCTTCCTCAGCGAGACCTGACCCAAAAAAAGGAAGAAACCATCACTAGTTTAGACGGCTATTCAGTGGTGTCAAAGCAGCACAATGCGCTCGAGACAAACTCTTTGTTTTGTAAATAGTTCCTAATTTGGGGGCCCACACAGTGCTGCATTTATCCTTGGCCAGGAGATGCCCTCAGTTTGTTTTTGTTTCCTTTATTCCTCTCTTTCTTTTCTGACACCAAGCACCTGCATTTGTGCCAGTAGTGTTTTGAGCCAGCTTTATTACCGAATTATTGCAGATTTAGGAGAACAGATCTGTGTCAAAAGGATTTTGCACACATATAAAAATGGAAGGAGTCAGGTCCTTGGGAAGTAATTTGATGGGTGAGCTCATACATTACATTTTAATTGATGGGAGAAGAGAAAACAATAATTCTGGGGAGCAGCTCTGTGAAGTAGCTGTGATATTAAAGGCAAAGTGGAAGACCTGATGTTTCCCAAATGACCATTCCCAAATGACCATTCCCAAATGACCATTCCCAAATCCTGCATCTGAGCTGAACCCCAGGCTCTGTGGGCACTGTGGTTGGGGTAATGCTCCCTGGGCAATCTGTGATTTTGTCAGGGCTCTGATGACCAGGGGCATTAATGACAGCAGTGACAAAGGTCTCTCTCATCATCTCCTGGCCCAGGAAATGTCTCCTGCCTGTGGAACTGTCCCCAGGGACAATCTGAGCGTTCATCTACAATGAGACAATGTTCAGAAAGTGAAACTGAGAAGAACCAGAAGTGGAGGTTGGTCAGGCCGGTTGCTTTGTCCAAATTCAAAGTAACACAATCAAGGAGAGGAGAAACCAGGCTCTGATAAGGATCTCCACTTCCAAAGCTCTGACATTAAAGCCGTGTTTTCTTTCCCCTCCTGCTCTTCAGATTTCTCTCTTCTCCTGTGCCTCAAACTTGATAAGGTAAGTTTGAAATCCTGAAATCCTCCCTGGGCTCCCAGCACGGGCATTATTTGCAGCAGACAGGGAGATAACATATCTGGCAGAGAGAGAAACACTAGGCTTTAACTTTTCAACTGCACGAAGCAGTGATTTTCCTGCCCCCACCTCTCTGCTCTCATCTCTGAGCTGCTTGATTTCAGTAAATTGCTCTCTGCCTGGCATCAGCGTGGGCACTGACTCACTCCCACTTTGGAGTCTCTGGCTTCTTCCAGGAGCTCCTGTCAGGAACTCAGCAGGTGCCAAATCACCTCATGGCACCACAGAGTCCTCCAGAGGGGATCCTGCCCAGGCACCACGGTGCTGGATTGCCCTTGGAGCCCCTGACCCTCCCTACAGACCCTGGCTGAGACTTGGAACCAGTGCTGGCCACCGGAGACAGATCCAGCCCACTTTCCCTGCTCCATCTCCAAGGTCCTTTGCAGAATAAGAAGTTGGTGTCTGGCCAACCCCACCTCCCTCCAGTGGCTCTGTGTGACATTATTTAGCACCCCCAAGCTGCCATTCCATGGCATGCTGGGCAAACAGAGCAGCTGCGGGCTCCAGCCCTGCAGTTCCCATTTATTTGGGAAGCACTGCCATTCCTCAACACCCTCAGGATGGCACACACAGGGAGCAGCATCACACTGAGCTGAGAACCAACAGAAAAAGCCCCAAACTCTGCAGGAGGAGCCACTGCCAGGCAAGCCCATCCTTGCTCTTGGCTCCAAGGCCCCTCTGGTTTCCAGGCAGAGCCAATTCCCACTGGGAATGGGCTGAGCTTGGCACAGGTTCTCTCATGGTGCTGAGGCATTTCACAGCTCCCTCAGACTGACTGTGCTGAGCTTTGCAAAAATGCTCCAGGATATGGCCAACAGCCTCCAATTTGTCTGTCAAATGCCATGAATTTGCCAGCTGAGGGGGGTTGGGGTCCCTGTAGCTCTCCCAGGATCTGCTCTGGGCTGTTGATGCTGTGACTTCAGCCAGGACTTAGAAAATCCTGGGGTTTGAAACAAAATTATTTCTCTCCTCTTGTGCCTTCAGTTGTTCTTAGGGCTTAGGGGGGGCTCAGCTGGTGCCTCTGGAGCTCTCATGAGCAAGTGTGGCACTGTCAGGGGGTCTGGGGTCAGAGCCTGAGCTCTGCTCTGACTGCAGAATCTTCAGGCTTTTACAACATTTGACACCATTCTTGCTAAAAGAAAGAAAAGTATTTTTCAATTATTCTGGTTTTGCTTCTGAGTTACTTCTTGCCCAAAGTTTATTTTGGCTTCAGGAGCTGAAGAACAGAATAAGCAAAGTGGAATTTCAGTGCTTTTCTACTCCACAGAGGACAGGAGGAGAATTCCTGTGCCACACACATCTGGTCTCTGCTGGCAGGTGACAGAGGGTTTATATAAACACAGCCTGTGCCCCTTCTGCCACACCACTGCTGAGTGGGCTGGGAAAAGAACATTTTGAGGGCAAAACAGAGAGAGTTGTAAGGGCAAGGTCAGGCTGTGCTAGGGCAGAACACCTAATGCCAAACAGGCAGAGTGAGACCTCACAATATCCCTAACATGCCCTGGCCCCTTTAGAGCTAGACTTGACTTTTAGGAGGCAAAGCTGGGGACAGCCCCAGGGTGTGTTGGATGAGGAGGATGGATCTGCTCCACTTGCATATTTGCTATGTGTGTTTGAGGAGATTCACACCTTTATGAAGGTGTTAGGATGCTGCAAGGGAGAATCAAGCACATTCCTGGCAGTGCACCCCCTCTTTTCCACAGCCCTGCTCCCCAGCCTTTGTCCCTAAAGCCAGGACCCACAGCCTGCCCAGGGTGGGGTGGCAGACCTGCTGGGCTGGGTCCTGCTGCAGCTGAAGTGCTCTGATTGCACTGCTCAGATTCCAATGCCCAGGCTAAGAGAACATTGTCCTCTCCTCCCTGATAAATAATTTTGGTCCTGCTCTAGGGCTACAAGGGACATAAAGTTAAAAGTGAGCTGTCATTACTGTGTCATGACCACAACAAAACTCCTTGTGAGAGCCACAAGAAGAGTCCTGGGTGCCACAGCTGTGGCACCCTGCCATCCCCTGTGGAGCTGACCCTGCTCTGGGTGTGCTCCTGGTGCAGCATCCATGCCCTGGCGTGGTTTGGGATGAGGTGCTGGAGTGACAATCCTGCAGGTCTGGCAGAGGCTCTGTCTCCTTCAGAGCCACAAAGGGGTCTCAGCAGCACAAAGGGTTCTCAGCAGCACAAAGGGGTCTCAGCAGCACATCCCTTGTGTGAGCCATGGAGGAAGGACAGGCTGCTCAGGGGAGGGACACCTCTGCTCAGGCTCCTCACTCCCTGCCTGCCTTGGCTGCTGCCAGCACACATTGGCACCAGCAAGACAAGAGCAGCACCTCCAGCCTGGAGATGCCCCTGGAAAGAGCCCAGGTTTTCAGGACCCAGGACACCCCTCTGGCTGTCCTGAGCAGCCAAGACCTCTGCCAGGGGGCTCAGAGACCCTGGCACAGAGCCCAGAATGCCCCTGTGGTTTTGATTATGACCCATGGAGTAAATTACCAACCTTAGATGAAGATCAGCAAGCCACAACAGTTTAGGTAGAATAACAGCAAATTTATCACAAGGTGAAAAAGTAGATTTTGGGGTTCTTGGTATGGGGGTTTGGGAGGCAAGATGGAGGGATCTGTGTGTGTCCAGCCTTTCTCCTTCTTCTTCTTGGCCTCCATCTTCTGCTGTGATGGTGGCACTTTTGGATTGGTTTAGAGTAGAAGCTCACTGTCTAACATAGGTGATAGGTATTGGAAAGTAACTGTAAACATTGTACAGGTAGTTTTTAGTATAAAGACATAACACTGCCCTGGGGGCAGGCAGAGTGCCTGGAACTGTCCTGCTGGACGGACCTCGGCAGGACAGGAGAAAGAATTTTATAGTTAAGATACAATAAACAACCTTGAGAGCGAGAAATCAAGAGCCCTGACTCCCTCCTCAAGCACCAGGCTGGGAAAAGAGATTTTCTAACTCTTCTCAGGGTCACTGTGAGCAGCTAGAGACCCCAACACAAGTGAGGACAGAGCCTCTGCCCAGAGCCTCACTGCACCATTTCTGGTCTGGGAGTTCATTCCTACCTCCAGTTCAGGCTTTAACATTCTGCTCTCGGCGCTGAAAACCGCAAACACAGCACAACCACAAATCCTCGGGAGCCAAATGTGAAAGGTTGACTGATACATTATCCAGGGGAGAAAAATATATTGAAAACTGCTTTTCCTGGGATAATCTGATTTTGCAGCAGGGCCAACATTAAACACGGGAGGCTCCCCAGGCAGAGGGTAATGGGTGACCTCCCTCACCTCTCTGTCAGATGGTTTCCAACTCCATCTCACTTGGCACAGGGAGATCCCTCCCACGCACAGCCTGATGCTCCATACTGGGCCCAGCAGTGAGCATGGATAAAAAGTATTTTTAATCTCTGTTCTTAATTCTAACAGCCTTCCTCCAGGCATCCTCTGGGCACTGCAGCTCTGCCTGGCACAGCCCTCACAGATGGTTGTGAGCCTGGCTGTGGCTGGGTGGGGCTCAGTGACAGCTCAGTGTGGTCCCTGATTAAGGATCTGGGGATCCCCTCTGGCCACAGGGAGAGCAGAGCCCACACAGCCTCTGCTTCAGATGACAAGGAAATCACTGCAGGGCAGAGCAGAGAGGGCTGTGCTGGCAGCAAAATGAGGCAGGTTAGGGCAGGGATGGCATGAGGGCTTGGGGACACAAACAGCTTTGTGCACATGGGTGAGCTCCATGGACTCCTCACGTGTGTAAAGGCACTCCTGTGCAGAGAGCTGGGCCCAGGGCACCTCAGGGCCCCTTGGAAGTCAGAGTTTGGAGCTGATTTGAGTCAGGGAAGGAGGGTGACAGTACAGGAGAAGATGAAGGGTTTAAAACTTCACTGACAAATTATTATCCTCAAAAGACACATGGGGAATTGAGAGAGCAAATAACCTGACCCAAAGCAGCCCCCTGAGCACAGGAAATGGGAGAGAGGCACTCAAACCACAGCAGGTCTACAGGGGAAGCTTTCCCC